ATGAAAGTGCTTCAGCATTGAGTTATTCTAATCTCTGAGATTGATGATATTGTAAAAATATAAAACTGCATGTATATGTGAATAGTTACTTTGGGTTGACTCATGTATATGTTTTGTTTCCTATACTTCAGATTACATACTTTCTAATCTGTTCTCCTCAACCTAAACAGAATTTTAAGCTTCTAGTCAATAGCATAATGCTAATATGTATAAAACCCTAACTGGCAACTGGGTTGTCAGGAGCAGACATTAGGTGAATAGCTGTGAAGCCTCTATGTGAGCTGCTCACTATTCCTTGCTTCAGCTCATACAAGGGCTCATACTCTTTCTCCTTCTTCATCTCCCACTTGACTGCCCTTGATGAGAGATTTAAATATCATGGAGCATTATAAGGGGCAGGTTCTTTAGTAGAGGAGTTTCCCTCTCTCCCCCCAGAAGTCTCAGTGGCTGCTCTCAATGCCCTGATTGTGGCCATGCCACCTGCCTCTAGTGCCTTATCCCCACATCTCCTGTTATCTGGAGACAAGTTAGGTAAATAGTTGAGGCTCTAAGTATTTTTTTGGAAGGTTGCCTCTGATTTTTTTCCAACATGGGTTTGGCATTTGTGGTATGGCAGATTAGCAGGCATTTCTGAAAGTTTAGCACTTATGTCTACTAAAAAAGTTTTAAATCTTTATTAGATTACAAACTACAAGGGTGTGATGGAAATGGAATTACAGTTATATACATAAAGTATTGAAATATATTAAGAGGTGGAGATCATATTCACAGGGACTCTGAGAAAGAATCAAAACAAAAGGTGACACATGAGCAGGTTGAAACATACATGTGTAATTACACATAGCTATACATGTGAAATTTTCAAACAGTAATGTTATGTAATTGTATATGAAGGCATTCAATACATATTTTTCTGAAACTTTCTTTTTTGACTTAAAATTTTATCCTGAGCATTTGTCCATTTTGGCACATACAGATGTACTTTGTTTATTTTAATGGCGATCTGATTATCTTTTCCATGATTAGATTCAAATTGATTTAACCAATATCCTGTTAATGGGCTTCTACTGTCTCCATTTTGCTACTCTAGCAAATGATATTGCAATGAGCACGTGTGTGTCTGTGTGTGTGTTCATGTGTGTATGTGTTTGTGTGTGTGTGAATATGTGTGTAAACCTGTGGGAATATTTTTATAAGATGGATTCCTCAAAGCTAAAATTTCTGGGTTAATATGTCCACATGCATGTTTGAAATTTTGGGTTATTGTTCTAGTTGTCTTTTGAAATCCTTTTACCAGTCTCACCAACAATATTGAGAGTGAATTTTTATACAACATCAAGAATAATTTTTTTCACTTTCTCAGCAGTTAATATAATACATGATGTATCATATATCTTATTATATGAATATAATATAATATGATATAGAACAGATATTTCAATTTATATTCATTTGATTAATATTGAGGTTTTCATCACGTTTATTAGTTATTTGCTCTTCATCCATAAATTTCCTCATTGTACCTATTGATTATAACAATTGTTTTCCTAAATAGTATTCTAACACTTGTATAGTTTTATTTTACATATTTGTATCACTAATCTTCTGGAATCTAGGTCTGAATAAGGCAGGAAGCAGGAATCTAATTTTATTTTTTTTCCAAATAAATAGCAAATTCTTCAAATACTATTTATGGACTAAATAATTAGCATAATGATTTGAATTGCTGCCTTCATAATATAAAATATTATGCTGGGCAGGTATCTAAACAAGAAATTTGATTATTGGCCAATCTTTTTTCTGCCAAGTATTGTAAGGAATGCAAATAATCTTGGAAACTTGAGTGGGCATCAGAATCACCTGGACATCTCATTGAATTCATAGTCCTCATTGAATTCACAGAAGAAACAGCATGTACAAAGACCCAGAGGCATGAGCAATGTGGTTTGGGAAATTCAGAATTTTTAGTACAGTTAAAAGTTTAAGTTTAGGAAAAAGATTACAAACATTATTAGAAAGTCCATAACAAAATCAATGAAAAAAAATACCATAATTAAAATACGACTCTCCAATAGAAGCATGACATTTACTTATTATGATTTGTTTTAGATAATCTATACCAGGACCTAGTTTTGCCCTTTTTTATTTTGTATAGGCCAGTATATTTAAGTACAGTGTTTTAAGAAGCCTTTTACTTTTACTCATTATTATTAGCTTTTTAAAGTAAACATTATCATTTATATTTCTGTAGTTTTCATCTTTCTTCTGGGAAGAAGAAATACTGAGGGGAAAAAAATGCACTGAGATCTCAGTATTTGGATCTACTATTCCCAAATTTCTGTTTTAATTTTCTGATAAGAAAACTCTTTTAAAACTTCTCTCTCTCTCTCTCTCTCTCTCTCTCTCTCTCTCTCTCTCTCTCTCTCTCTCTCTCTCTCTCTCTTTTCCCAAGCAGAACTTAAACACAAGATTATGTGATAGTGGGAGGTAGTGCATACATGCTGACAGATTGTATATATTACAGTTTTTATTACTAACTTTTTCATCTTCAATGTTGACTTTTTTAAGGCAAATACAGTGTCCTGTGTGCTGAAACATGTCAAAATGTTGCTTAATTATGATTAGATCTTTCAATTATGATTATGAACACTAATTCAAAATAAATAAACACCCAGAAATAAATCTAGGCACTTATAGTCAACTCATTTTCACAAAGGCCTCAAGAACATACACTGGTGGAAAGGACAGTCTATTCAATAAATGGTACAGGAAAAATTGGTTGTTCATCTGTAGAAGAACAAAACTACATCCCTCTCTCTCACCATATGCAAAAGTTAAGTGAAAATGGATTAAAGTCTTAAATCTAAGACCTGAAACTGAAAATACTAGAAGAAAACTTTGGATAAGCACTTCAGGTGATTAGTTTGGGCAGAGATTTGTTGCTTAACACCTCAAAAATACAGGCATATTTACGAGAAGCTGGGAAAGAGAACTGGGCAGAAGGGAAAGAGAGAGTTTGGTTAATGGTACAAAAATATAGTTAGATAGAAGGAATAAAATTTAGTATTTTATAATAAGGTGACTATGGTTAAGGTGGCTATAGTTAAAAATAATAATTTATTGTATATTTCAAAATAACTAGAAAAGTGGAATTGGAATGTTCCTAACACAGAGAAATAATACATGCTTGAGATATTCCTAACACAAGGAAATTATACATGGTTAGTGATTAGGATACTCTGATTATTCTGATTTGATTATCACACATGGTATGTTTGTATAAAAATATTACATTTGCCTTATAAATACTTACAAATGTTTTTTAATCAAAAAATTAACAACAACAAAAATTCCACTTTTATGTGAAACACCTCTTTTTTTTCTCTTTTTCCATTTCCTTCCTACCAGGCAAGAAAAACACCTTCAAAACTTATTTTGAATTAAGTCAGCATCATTTTTGAGGTTTAATCATTAAGATGTAATTTAAGTGCCGTAGTGTGTACTTTTAAATTGCTGATTGAAATCCACACTTATCAATGAAATCTTTTGTAAGCATCATGCTTCTCTATACCAAACCCCCCCAAAAAAAGCGCACATTGTTTTACATTAACTAATACAATCAACATACTATTCTACAACTCCAAAATATGCATTGAAAGCAATTTAATTTTTGTCATTGTTGTGGGGCGATTGCCTGTTTAAGGGTATTTCTTTTCCAATATTGCATGCAGATATGGAACTCAGATCATGAGAAAATAGGGCAAGGCATGTGAGAGAATGCTGTTTATGATGATTGGTGGCATTCAGAGCCTACATTGGAACATAATGCCAAATTGACTTTGGAGAAATATACAACTTGTGACGCTTTGGACATTTTCCATATCCATTGGTGCCAGACCCTGGAGGGGGTGGGAATTCTGGGCCACGTCAAAGTAAACAAGTCAATAGAAAAAGCAATGATTAGAAAGACTGACCCCTGAACCATGACATCTCTGAGTTCCCAAGAGCGTCAACAACCCAAGTTTGACAAACACTTCAATCCTCCTGGTGACATGTAATTTTGGGTGTTGATCACTCAAAGGCTGTTGTTGTTTATATCTAGAAGTTCAAATCTGGGAGGATGCCAAAAGTTTTGCTGTTATGATGTGTGGGGTATATTAGTTGGCATTGCTGGCTTGAGAAATCTATTGCTCTGTAGTAGAGAAGCTGCTTGTTTATCATTTTCTCATCTCGCTCTGGAAAAAATAAGTGTGACTAGTTTCTGGAAATAAACTATCTATCCATCTATAGTTTATATACATATAGTTTATATATATATATAATATATATAAATATGTATTATATATTATATATATATTCTTTCTCTTCCAGCAGACTTGGAAAGGAAATCAGAGAGTGGTTCTCTCGGCACTGACATGCCCAGACAAGACAATGGCACATTTGAAATAAAAAACTGCAGAAAGACTGATAACAATCACTTACTTAGGCACCAAATGCTGGAGTTGTAGCTTAGGTTGAAGGTGTGCAGGTGTCTGACACTGCCTTTTTAGTCTTTCGTTTTATTAAGAGAAGGCAAATAGGCTGTGATTTTTTTTTTCTGGAAAAGTATTAGAACCTTGTTAATTATGGTAGAATGAACATGGGCAGGAAAAGGAAAAACATAATTTCAAGTATAAGTGCATGCTGGAAACACATATTGGCAAGCATACGGGGTTCTGGCATCTGGACAGAAGCCTTCATAACCATCTGCTTTCTCAGAGGTTACTTTGGCAATTTTTGCAGCAATTCCAGTGATTCACAGGTCTGGGCTAAGAATCTTCAGCAAGCAGCTAAAGAGGGCACAGGAACATAGAGGCAGTTACTCAAGAGCTTCCGTCCACACATTAGTTTCATTGTTCTGGGTATTATGTCACTTTAAGATGGTCTATGTGCCAGTCTTTCATTGTGATGGCAGCAGATGTTACTTCATGCTAATATTTTTTACCCATTTTATTCACCAGGTGATACTCAGTTTTGGCCTTGGGAATGAATTCCCTCTGTTGACTCCATAAGATGTGAGGAATGTGTGAAAAGACTTGAGTTCTGGTGTGTTCTGAAGCGTGAAGACCTAACAGGTAACCTTCAGCTCTACTTGGCTTTCTCATTCTTCCTGATGTTCCTGGGAATTTTAGAAATTCCTCTGGTGGTTTCAGTAACATTCTAATAAAAACTTATGAGACCAGTCATTTAACAGAGGACCATTATGGCTAATTATAAAGTAAAATATTGACTAGCATAATGTATTATAGATTAAATCTTTATATTACATTTTTATTATAAAATACTACTGGTTGAGTATCTATAATGTGTCAGCTAATGGGATAAACATTTTAAATGTAAAAGATTAATACAAAGATGTAAATGGAAGAGCTTGTGGGTGAGAATAAAAATGGTACAGCCCTCTCAGAAGGGCCATTTGTTGGTGTTATCAGCATCTTAAATGCATGTGCCCTGTAACGACTCCCTCCTTCCTTGTTGCTTTACTAGAACTCCATTCTATCTATGCTATAGAAATATTGCCATATATACATAAAGCTGTATATGCTAATTGTAAGATTATTTGTAATGAATAAAAATCAAAAGCAACCTAAATGTTGATAAATAGGAAAACTGTTACATGCATTTTGGAAATGCCATACTATGAAACATCACAGAACTATTTTAAAACATGAGACAGATCCATAAGGACTGATGTGGAAAAATGTTCATGGCCAACTTTTTCAGTTAAAAAAACACACCCTTATTTTAGAATGGTATGTAGAGCATATTCCTATGTTTTTGTTAAAGACACCCCCATATATATAGTTAAATCTGTAAATGCATACAAGTCATCTGTTATGAACTGAGTGAATCTTTGTGTCTCTCCAAAATTTAAATGTTGAGGCCCTAACCCCGCTTTGGGAGACAATTAGGGTTAAATGGGATCATGAGGATGGGGCCTCATGATGGGATTAGGGCCCTTATAAGAAGAGGAAGAGACTAGAGCTCTCTCTCTCTCCATCATGTGACGGAAGCAAGAAGGCAGGCTTCTGCAAGCCAGGAAGAGAGCCTGCATCAGAATTCAACCATGCTGGCACCCTGCCGTCAGAACTGTGAGAAATAAATGACTGCTGTTGAAGCTCCCCAGTCCATAGGTTTTTCAGTAGCAGCCTTAGCTGACGAAGACAATATAAGATTCCGGATAGACTCTATTGCATGACTATCTGTGAGATGAGGTGGGAAGAGGGATACATTCTCCCTTGTCCAGCATATACTTCTTTATTGTTTGAATATTTGTCAAGTATGCATTATTTTATAGTTGAGGTAGGGAGGAGGGAGGAGGGGAGGAAAGAAAAGAGAAAGGAAAAAAGAAAACAACCGCTGTGAAGCCCCAAAGTCCACATTGGTTTTTCATGAATTATTCTGTTTACCATTTGCAGAATATTAAGTTACCAATTTCTAAAGCCACTTCCTCCTTGGATGACCTTAACGGCAGGTGGGGGCGGGCAGGGGAACCTCTCACACTCTCAGCTCCTCCTAGAAAATAAATGGGCTTTACAGAAGACACTAGTATGTTTTATGAAGCATTTTCAAATATATTGTTGAAGGAAACTTAAATGGGATATTAAGTTGTAATTAGATTGTATTTACCTTTTAGGGGAGTACACTTTTTAGGGGAGTAAAAGGGAAATTAGATTGCATTCCCTTTTTAGACTTTAGATTCTAAAGTCATGTCTCTCCTGGCTACTTTGTCATTTTATGTTTTTTTCCTAGATTATGACCTACTGGAGTCCTCTAACACATTTATTTATCTCTTACACAGAGCCATCAGTGTTAACCTGTTCCCTTTTGTCTCAAAGTGTTTGGCTTTCGTTTTCCCCCTAAAATAGATGTAGACTGTTTAATTTTGGTTTTGATCTTTAGAGAAATTCCACGAGACACTCTTGGCTCTAAAACATCTAGAGAGCCTGGGTCTTCAGAAATCTTCTCATGGTTTTGGTGAAGGCTATAAATGAATTATCTCCAAGATGGTTTGCAGAGTAGATCATGTGAAAAGTTGAAAGAAAGAAAAACAAATCACAATATCAGACCCTAACTCAAATTCACAAATTGAAATTTTGAGGGGATCATGTATAACAGTCTTTTTAAAGCAAAATTCCTGAATTAATCTTTGTGTATCTTGCTGAAGACTAATAGGAAATAAATCATCTGGTATTTATCACAAAATCCCATGAATGAGACCACAAAGACAAGTATCTTCAACTTTCTGGTGAAGCACGTATTGGCGTGCAAGCTTTGTCTATAAAATGTGTCTCTTGCTTATGACAGGATGTAGGGATTATGAGTAAGACAAATGCCAGATGTAGGGAAGGATGGTCAAGTGTTGCAAATGGAGAGAAAGTTTTGGCTTAAGAAAGTCTGTAAAGGACCCTTCTCTCAAACAGAGGTACCAATATTATCTGTTCTCATACTTGAGTGAGCATCTGAAAACTAATCACATTTTATAAACTATGTGACTCAAAAGTGCCTCTTTCTTTGGGCTCTCAAAGATCTGAAACTGTTGCAGGGATTTCTGTTACTGATTTTGAACAGCTTTTAAACAAAAATCAGATTCCTTGATTCTAAATAATTTTTATCTGTAATAGATTATTAGAGCTACAAAGAAATGTTCAACAAAATCTCCTATCCTTAGAGGTTTCAAATAGTGGAAGTGGTATAAGATGGTGAATGTCAGAAACATACATTTTGATTTATTTGTTAATGTAAACTCCTAATTAGTTTTCAGTTATCTAAAAACTACAGAGGAAGAGTCTATGTCATATAAACCGATACTTATTTTTCTATTTTAAAAAGGTGTTTTATGGAAAATTCCAAACATACTCAAAAGTTGAGAGACTAATGCCATGCAGCTGAGTACCTGTTAACTAACTTCATTGATTAACAACACCTTGCCATTTGTTTCCACCTGTGCCCCATTTTTTCTGGAGTATTTGAAACTCCAACATAATATTTCACTATAAAAAAGACATTGAAAACAAAGATTATCTACTGACTTATTATTTGAAACCTCAAATTGTTTTATATTTTATATCTTGCCTCCACGATAAAGTTGGAGAGGGATAACATGGGGAGAAATGCCAGATATAGGTGATGGGGCGGAAGACAGCAAACCGCATTGCCATGTATGTATCTATGCAACCACCTTGCATGTTCTTCACATGTACCCCAGAACCTAAAATGCAATTATATGTATATATACACACACATATAAATATACACACATATATATAATATAAAACCAGCCTATGCACTCCAAATGATCAGAAGATTTTTGAAAAAGTAAATATAGTATAGAGAACAAAAGAATAAAAGAATAATTTTTAAAGATGTGCATCATACAAAATGCAAAAACTAAAAGGCTGGAACAAAAAAAAATTGTGAGCAAGCTTACAAAATAAAATAGGTCAAACCGAGAAAAGCAAATATTTATGAAAATAAATCTAAATGGGGTTTATGTTCTAGCAGAGACAGTCTCACATTCACAAATGAAAAAAATTCAGTGAAGTATAAATATAGTGATATAGAAAGGCTAGCATCACTTTTGTTTAGCATTGTATTTTAGAACTTAACCAATGCAATAAAATTTAAAAATATGCAGATTTGATTACTGAAAACACAGCAAAATAAATTGAAGAAGTTATGACGAATAAAAAGAAATAATAAAGTGAACAACATAAGATTATCATAAGAACCATCAATAAAATAAGCTATAATTTAAAAAATAATATATGTTAAAGTCCTTTTAAAAGCAAAATTATAGTCTATAAATGTTTACTTTTTAAACTGTTATTTGGTTTTTAAAAAATAATACAGTCACATAACATACAAATTTTTAACTATAGTATTGTTCATTAGCTAAGAAATAGTCAAGAACAATCAAAATAATTTTAAATATTTGCTTATTCTGTCCATAACTGAGAAAAATAGAGTTATCCATAAGATAATTATGTTCATTTATTTTTTTGTAATTCTCTTACCCAGGAAAGTCCTCAAAAATATAAAAGGTGTTTACTGGATTTCCTCCATTTAATTATAGCTCTAATTAATAATGCATTAACAATCAATTTAGTATTGAAAAGTGTTTCAAAGTCCTTCAAACACAATGCTGACTATTGTGTTTCTCATTTATCTACTCATTTGGTTTCAAGAAGACTGATCGACTCAGCAGCCTACTTACAAATACTGGTACTTCTTGCTTTTTCCTACACTTAAATGGAGTTCTCAATTGTTTACTTGTTCCAAGTCCTCTAGCCTGCGGAGATGACTTTGATCATTTGGATTTAAATAAAGTTGCTTCAACTCCTATAATGAAACACTAGAAAACCCTGTGAGAAATTCTTTTCCATCTCAATATTTCAGGGGATCTTTGTGGGATTCAAATTCATTATCATCTCCTCTTGCTCTACTTCTCTGTGTCTACTGAGCTCCCCACTCTTGGGCATGCTGTTATTTTGCTGCCTACCATTGTTCCATACTGGAGCCTGTCCAGATTGTTTCACCTCCAAAGGACCATCCTCACAAGACTGCATGATCAGCCAACTTTTACTGGTGTTTTGGGAGGAATCCAAGAATAATTGTTTTATAACTGCCTCGATTGAATTTGGCACATCCCAGTACCCTGCCCACCTACAGATGCCCAGCTCCACCCACAGAGGGCTGTGGCACTCAGTTACTTTGCAGGGCATTTTCCTCTGCTTCTCTTGCCTAGACCCTTTGTTGTGCCCCTGCCCTTGAAGCTTGAACTTCTTACGTATTCTGCTGAATCCTTCAATTCTCTTTGACTGACTTATCTGACTGATGGACTGTGCCTGAATGCTTCACCTTTTGTATTCAGAAAACAGTTTTTCTAAACCCACAGCGTGTCAGAAGGAGAAAAACATGTCATTCTCCCAGGAGTTGGGGACTGTAGTCGGGTGCAGCTTTAAATGGCAATTTTTGTCTTCTTGGCTACAGATGTTTTCATCTTTATCTTTCTCTCTTCTCTCTCCTCGCTCTCTTCACCTCTCTATTTATCAAACCACTCATCCATATACAG